ATGTAGTGGGTTCACCCCCCCTCAAACCAGACGGGGGGGGGAAGGGTTCGGACCCCCCCCCTCCCCCGAAAGTTGTTCCGACGGGTCCAGACCCCCTCATCCCCCTGGGACAATTCTTCGAGGGGTCCTGCAGAACCCTCCCCCCTAGCCCCCCCCCCTCCCGGCAACGACGACGACGACATCGACGACGACAATGACGACGACAATGACGACGAAAACGACGCCAGCAAACGACGACGACGAAAACAGCGACAACGGCGACGACGACGACGATGCACAACGACCACGACGACGATGCCGACGCCGACGCCGATGCCAACGACAACGACAGACACGACGACAAAGACGCCGCCGACGACGACGATGACGACGAGGACGTTGACGACGACGACGACGACGACGACGACGACGACGACGACGACGGCGGGGACGAGGACGCCGACGACGCTAACAACGCCGACGACGCGCGACAACCACGACGTTGCCGACGACAATGTCGACGCCGCCGACGACGACAACGACAACGGCGACGACGACAACGACGCCAACGACCACGACGACGACAACTACGGCGACGACGAGGACGACGAAGGCGATGACGACGACGAGAACGCCTACGACGCGCCGAAAACGATTGAGCCCTAGTGGGATGCGATTCCAGCAGGTTCTTTGAAAGCTGGATGGGGCCCTGATCGGATTCTGTCGAAACTTTGCCCAGCCCGGGTAGCATTATTTGCTTGATGGGTCGAACCTTGGATGAATGCTAGTCGATCTGGATCCAATCCGCTGTGGGTCGAATTCGAGGAGACCTAGATCAAGCCCTGGAATTCTCTTAGAGTAGTTTGAGCCATCCCTGTTGGTTTGTATTAGAGCTGAACCGAGCCTCGCTAGGGTTCCACTCGTGCTGGATCCAGCCCAAGTAAGATTCTGGATCGAACCCTATTTGGCTTCCATCATAGCTAGGTCGAGTCCGAAGAGGGTTTTGAGCGAGCTCCTTCCCCCCTGGAAGGATGTTATTCAAGATGGCTGAAGCCCTGGCAGGATTCGGTTAGGTTAGAGCTGGGTCGAGCCCTACTCGGATTCGAGACAGAGCTTGATCCAGCATTCGTTAATCTTAGTAGTGCCAGTGCCAGCTTCAGTGGGTTTCTATATGAGCTTGATCGGCTCCCAGTGAGTTTCTAGTAGTCTTGAATTCATCGCTGTAACGACCGGCCCGTATGTTTCAAGTGCAGCGGGATCGAGCCATCTAGTGACTGTGCTGGAACTGAGTCCAACTCTATAAGCATTGCTGTTGAGCTGGGTTGAGCCTCGGTCTGATCATTCCTGGAAAGGCGCGTTCCTTGGCCGCTGGGGGGGGTCGAACGGTTAGGTGAAGGTGGGGTGAATCGGTGGGGACGGGCGTTCGAACCGGGGGAGGGTACCCCCCCGCTTGAGTGGCGGTTCGAACAGGGGGGGGGGCCCTCTGTCAAGGGGGGGATCGAAACGGCCCCCCCCGCCCCTGCCCCCCGAAACACTGCAATGGCGACAAAGACGACGACGATGACGACGACGACGGACTTTTGTCGGTCAGCACACAACATAAACATTACAAAACGCACAAAATATCCCGATGGTGAGACCCCACATGCGAGTTTATGTAACTTGTTCCTCCTGTCCTCCTCGTCGCCTTGGCGGAGGCGTTCTCCCGCTCTCTGATGCGCCTCCTCCTCCTCGTCCTCTTCGCCCTCTGTTTCCTCCTCCGTCTTGTCCTCTCCTCCTCCCGTTCCTCCTCCTCCTCCTCGTCTTCCTCCTCCTTCTCCTCCTCCTCGCCATCCTCTTCATTTTATCCTCCTGCCCGTTCTCCCCATGCACATTCTCTCGTTCCTGGCCAGGGCAAGTCGATTTTCCTCGGCGCCGATGCGCGACGGACGCACGCGCGAACAGCGGCGTGTCGCCGCACTGCCCGCGCGCGTCGGGGCGCGCCGCAGGCGATGCGGGCAGGTCCGCGCCCTTCCGCGTGGCGCCCGTGCCCGCCGCATCGCTACGGAGGATCACGGATTTGCGTCCAAGACGTGGGGTGTGCCCCCCGCGGTCGGGATTTGACCCGCCCGAGCTCGCCACGTTTTCGCCCGTTGTTGGGTTGCGTTGCGACGGGCGCCGAGGCCACCCGAAGCGCCCGCGCCGTCTTGGCGCGGCGCCCGCGCCACGTGTCGCGGCGCAGGTTTCGGCGCGCACCCACAGCTTCGGTTGCGAGCGCAACCCGGTGACGGGCGAGCTTGGTTTTCATTGCCTTTTTTTCACCCCAGTCCAGTCAAATCTACCTTTGTCCAGTCTATTTCAATCCACTCCAGTCCACGTCGCGTCAGCCTTCTGGTCTATTTGGAATCTGCGCTTGTTGGCTCTTTCTGCGTTTTGTAATGCTGATGTTGCGTGTTGCTGTCTGTTGTTCGTCGTTGCCGTCGTCTTCGTCGTTGTCGCCCCTGCAGTCCAGATGGGGCGCGGGGCTGGTTCGACCCCCCCCCTCTGAAATTCAGGGGCCCTCCTGGTCATGGCCCGCGCCCCCTCTTGTTCGAACGCCCCCTCTCAGATAGGTTGGCGTGTTTGTGTGTGTGCGTGTGTGTGTGTATGTGTGTGCGTGCGTGCGTGCGTGTGTGTGTGTGGGGCGTTATCCAGTCGCGTTCTGGCTTTTGTTTGGGACGCAATGGGTGGTTCCGATGCGTCAATGGAATTGTTCCAAGTAAGCGTCCACGGAACGTCTTCTCTCTGTGAGTTGGATCAAGTGGAGTTGGATCCAATGTGAATTGGATTCGGTTTAAGATCGATGAAGTTGTTGTACGCTTCGGCTGAAAAAAACAGCCTTCATGTTTTATTCGAGTTGGGTCCAGCCCTAGTATCAGGATGGCTTTCGAACTGGATCGGGCCTTAGTCGGATTCCTTCAAAGCTGGATCGAGCCTTGCTAGGGTCCTTTTAGAGCTGGATCCAGCCGTACAAGAGTTCGATTCGAGCTAGATGGCACCAATTATATACCTATTCGAGGTGGGGCAAAGTTTGATACGGTTGTTCTACAGTTAGATCGAACCCTGATAGCATTCTATCAAGCCCGGCGCCAAGCGCGGGCGCTGGCGACAGGTGCGCCGGCGCCGCCGCTGACGACGTTGTCGCCGTCCTCGGCGTGGTCGTGGGCGTCGTACGCGTCGTCGTTGTCGTCGTCGTGTTCGTCGTCGTCGTGTCGCTCGTCGTCGTCATCGTCGTCGTCGTCGTGGGTGTCTTTCGTCGTTCGTCGTCTTCGTTGTCGTCGTCGTCGTCGTCGTCGTCGTCGTCGTTGTCGTCGTCGTCGTTTGCCAGCGTTGCCGTCGTCGTCGTCGTCGTCGTCGTCGTCGTCGTCGTCGTCGTCGTTGCCCTCGTAGCGGGGTGTTGGACCCCTCGGATAATTCTCCGGGGGGGGGGGCCTTTTGGACCCCCCCGAATAATTGTCGGGGGCGGGTGGCGGGATGGCCTTGTGGATCCCCCCGAATCATTTTCTGGGGGGGGGGTCAGAACTCCGGGGTCTGCCACGGGGATGGGTTGGTGGGGGAGGGTTCGGGGGAAGGTGGTCCCCTTGCCTTCTGAACCCCACCCCCCAGAGATGTCTTTCAGAGGGGGTTGGGGGGGCCGTGTTTTCGACCCCCCGTTTTATAGAACTTGTTCATGCCGACAACGGTGGATCGCGTTCCTTCTGATGTTTCCATGTTTGTTGCGTTTGCGTGCTGGAATCGGTATTTTAGATTCCGTGGGCGACCTTCAAGGTTCAGCGCTGCACGGGGGCACGGCCTGGCAGAACCTGCGCCAAACGTTTAGATTTCTGTTGCCCTGCGGCATTCCCGTCTGCGCCGAACCCGGAGTCATGCACGCCCTGGCGCGCCGAGAAACTTGGACCGGTTGGTGTTTGATACAGTCGGGTGCGTTATCGCAGTGCCACTTCGAAGCACAGCCCGCCGCCGCGAGTTGTGCGCTGCCGCCTCCGAGACAGGCCAGCGCCACACACCCCGCGGCAAACAGGGAGTTATCTGCACCGGGTTGGCTTCGCACGTCGCGGAGTTTTTTCCGCAGCTGCGTCGCCGGCCAGGGGCGTCGTTGGGAGGTTTTCAGTCAATTTCGAAACATATTTGGGCAGTTTGGGTGCCTCCTGGAGGCATGTTGGAGACGATATGGTATATTGAGCCATGATGGGCCAATGTGTGCGATGTTACTTGGGCGTCTTGCGCTATGTGGGCCATTTTGGAACCGCCATGGGCCATGTTCGATCTGGGGGGTAAGGGGGAGGGGTGAAACCGAAACCCTTTCCCCGACGAGGAAGAAAAGGGCTGGAATAACGATCAACCGCTTACGGCCTAAAGGGCTGGTTGGACGCTCCATGCGAACGCACGCGGCGCAAAACCGAGAGCAACATTTACTTGCAGGCAGGATCGTAAGTTGCAATGGCACGGAGCGTTTGGCCCGACCTACATATGCATTTGGTGAGCGCGACTGGGGGAACTTGCGGGATGGGGAGGGGGAAGAGGATCCTGATGACGACGATGATGCGGATCGGGAGGAGCAAGGGCACGATGGCAGGGGTAAGTGTACGAGAGGCGTCTGCCGGGCCGAGCGGAAGCAACACGAACGTCGGCACTAGCGATCGGGTCTTTGAGATTTAGTCTCCGTCACCTACCCCTCCCCCCGTCCCCCGTGGGGCCGTCCGACTGAACGTTTTCAGGCGCCCCGCCTCAACGCGCCTCATTCTGTCTGCCCTTCCCGCAATTTTGTGTCCGTGACGTGGGCGCGCACCCGGGGACCAGCCCTTCATCCTGGATAGTTTTTGACGGTCCTGGGGCCGTGAAGCGGCCTTCGGATGCCGAAACCGATGATCAACTGTCCGCCGCGGTGTTTTTTTTGTGCGATGTCTCGATTCGATTGCTCCTGCTCGTCCTCTTCCCTGCTCCTCCTGATTCCTCATCCGTGGGAAGCCCAGGACGGTTAGGCGGTGCCCTCGTCCCCCCAGGAGACCGCAGACCCTCGCCGCGCTGAGCCGCCTCGCGTCGGGGAAGCTGACGCAGGAGGAGGCGCCCGACCCGGCGCGCGGTCCAGTGGTCTGAGGTCCACATGTGCATCAATGTCTGGCGCGTTCAGAAGTGAAGTGTGCTTGGATGTGAGGGAGTCTGAAACACGAGCGGCTGAGTATGAGTGGACCTGCGTGTGAATGCCTAGATGTGAGGGTGCGAACAAGCCTGAATATTGTGGCTTATCTGCTCTTCTATGTCTCTGGGAGAGAGAGGAAGAGAGAGAGAGAGAGAGACACACAGAGGGAGAGAGAGAGAGAGAAGGAGAGAGAGAAAGAGAGACACGCACATTTATATACATGTAAACATAAAGAGAACGGGAACGAGAAAGAGAGTGAGAGAGAGACAGAGAAAGAGAGAGAGAGAGAGAGATATGACGACGACGACGACAGCTATAGCGCCACCGCCGATGCCGGCGGCGGCGACGACAACGGCAGCCCCTGGACATCTTCTGCGGTGCGTTCTAATCTGGATTTTGAGGCAAATCCAGCCGTGTCGGCGAGAGGATTCCTGGAGGCTCGAAGGGGCACCAGGGCGCCCAGGTATCCTCGACTTTCGGCGACGACGACGTCGACGATGACGATGCTGGCAGCGGCGGCGGCGGCGCCGACAGCGGCGACTACGACGCCGCCTGCCGCGGGGGCGGTGCCGCACGCCCTGTGCGCTCAGCGGCGGCGGTACCGCTGCCGCCGAGGGCGCGAGCGTCGAGCTTGTGCGCATGACCTCCGTCTGCGTCGCGCCACGGGGGGGGGGGGGCGGGGGCTCGGGGCTCAGGGGCAGTGTTAGGGGGTGACAAGCTCAGGGGTGGATGCATCGACCCCCAATCGCCCACGCATCGCTGACATGGGGCTCGATAGCCCACCCCGCCCAGGAACGCGCGGTTCTGCCATCGGGGGCCCATCGTGGCCCAACTCGATGGCCCCTCCCTGAGCCAATCCCCCCTATCGTTGCCCCCCATGGGGGCGTCGGCGGCAGCCTCGAAGACGTCGACGACTACGGCGGCGGCGGCGGCCGACGGCGCCGACGACGCGGCGGCAACAGGCGGGGCTAGCAGGTGAAACTGGTGCGGCCGCGGCCCCCGCCGCGGCACGGGGCTCCTTGGCGGCGGGGCGATGGCGGGTGTCCTTGGGGGCCATCCTGGAGCTCTCGTGGGAGTATCCGCCTTGGGCGCTCTGAAGACCGAAGAGGTGTTCAAGTCATGCACACCTATCGCTTGTCCATGGTGTTGTTCCTCTGGGCCAGCCCTCGGGATGGCCCGCGATGACCCCCACATATCCCTCAGACGCCCCCCTGGAACCATCTTAGGACCCATGGTCGGAGGTGGGGAAGCGCCCAAGAAATTCGGAAATCTGGGGTCTGGCCCGCATTCTTGCATCACCCAATGCCGAGTTTCGAAAGGGGCCTGCCGACACTCCACTTGGTGCCTTGCGGCGGTGGGGGATTTCGGCATCCGTGGGGACCCCCAAGACCATCGTAAGCTATGTAGGACAGCCCTGAGGGAAAGAGACGTTTGCGCCTGGACCCGCCTGGAGGGGGACGCGGCCATCAAAATGGCTCACACGAGCACCACGGAGCCGCTGAAGAGGACCACCTCCTCGCGCCCCTGGCCCCGCACTGACTCGCCGAGCGACGTGAACGTCCGCAGCTTCTCGATCGGCGCGAGGCGAACTGCGCAGGGATGCCGTCGACGGACCGACCGAGGATCAGGACGAGGCGCTGCATGAGCTCCGCGCGCTCCACAGCCCCCCCGCCAGCCACAGCACCAGGACCACTCCCAGCACCTGCAGCTCCCGCCATGCCATCGGGCGGCCGACTGCGAACCAGGCTGTCGGCCCAGCCGTCGTCGTCGAGGCATGCCAAGTCGCCGTCCGCATCGAGAGCGCCTGCGGCCGCCGCCGCGCCTGGGCCCCCAGCCAGCGCGTCAGGTGCCGCCGCTCTGCCGCCACCCCTCCTCGGCGGCTCCGCGTGCATGTCGCCGCCTTTGCTCTGCTCGCCTGCCGAGGGCCCCGCACCGCGCCGCGCGCGCCCGCGAGGCCGTCGGCGCCCCCGAGGGAACGCCGCAGCCAGGGGCTCCTGCGCGGGCGGTTTCGGCAACGCGGCGCTGTGCATGTGAATTGACGACCGAAGAGTCGAACCTACAATGGTTGCCGTAGGTAGAGGAGGGTAAGGGGCAGGACAGGACAGGTGCGGATGTGCGAAACCCGGGGGGCGACCCTCTAAGAGCTCGGCGGGGGCGCCGGAGCGCCGAAGCTCAGATGCCGTAGCACATGGTTACTTTACGATCTCGAGTGTTTACGATTGGCTCCACTAGTACAATCCGTCCCATGAGTTTGAACATGCAGCGTTGTAAAAAGAAGGGGCGCGTTTGCCTCACATACACTCATGCGAAACCCATCACCTCGGCCATATACTGTGTAATTTGTACATCGATTCCAACAACTCGTCTGTCTTGCTCAGCGGGTCTCCAGTCCCACTGTGACATTTGTCGCATACACTCCGCCAGAGACAATCTCGATGCATGAACTCATAACGCTGCTCCACTCCAACCCTCGATGACTTCGTGCTGTTTGTATTTCACAATTTGGTTCCCAAACGTATCCATCACCAGACCTATGTAACTTGTTTCGTCCTTCGCATCGATGAACAAATCGACTTTTGTCGGAATACTCGAGATTCGACAGTCAATTGTGGCCTCCGCTTCCTTGATCGTCTCATCTTCACTAGATACGCGACTCGCCTCACAAGAAGGGGCGCCGTCTCGACCCATTTCACCACTGCTTGCATTATCACGAGCGCTTGGCATGACAAGTGCCTGCTCTGCGATCTTTTCTACAAGTACAGCCTTGGGAACTTCGACAACCTTCTCGATGTACTCAAATTTAGGTACCTCGAAATACCAAATTGTCCCGCGCATTGCTACCATAGGTTCAATTGGGACAGGGTGCTGACAGTATTGATTGGCCTGCACTTCTGCGCGCAAGGTGCGGGACTCGATTTCGCCCGGCCGGCGGATTATATCAAACTGGTCATTCAATGTCGCGTCGAGCTTTTCTACGATCATTTCTGCGAATTTTCTGCATTCCCGTCGCGGTTCTGGTCTGTATTGCCATCGCCTTTCCAAACATCTTTGCTGCTCGACGTTTCAACCCATTGCTTTCTGGCCCATAGTATGGTGCAGATGCAACGAACGAAGGGGATGTTTATTGACTGCTTGGGGCTTGAGCCTCGCATGAGCTGAGCCAAAATGGCTAGAGAGGGTAGCGATCCCCTTTCCTATGCGCCGCGGGCAGGCGGCGCTTTACCTGTTTCCAGTACCTGAGCCGAGACGGCAGCAGCAGTTTATATATATATATATATATGTATATATATATATATATAAGTGGATATAAAGATGATATGAGCGGGCTTCACAGACACCGTCCCTAATCCCGCCTGTTCCACGTGGGCTTCGGGCCCACGGGAGACAGAGGCGGGGGTCGGGATCAAAGGTATTAGATCCGTCCAGCACATCATTGCATCCCATGCAACTTCCAGACGAGGCCGTCATGGCTAGGAAAGAGAGAGAGGGGACCAACCACGTCACGCAGGGTACTTGGGGGAGTCTACCTGCCTTTAGCGGGCCCAGGGTGCGCCCCCCAAAACGCTTCGACTTTCCTGGGCGACACCCCTTCTCCACGGGTGACGAGGTCGGGAGAACAAGGGATAACAGAAGTGGAAAACGATGCCAAGTCGAAAAAACAAACGCGGGCGTTTCCACCGGCGCACAGTTCATCGCGTACGGAAGAATTCAAATCGCGCGGGTGCGTAGCAACCCAAAGTCTAAATTAAAGAGTGTTGTGAGCAAAGTCGGGGCGACAACTGATCAAGGCATGCTAAAGGAATAATCATTCACTGGGCACTCCAGGCCCAAAATCAAGCTGGTATTCCGATCAAAGTTGTTACGACGATTGATCAGAGAATTGGTACTGTTAACGTGACGAGTGAGGCACTCCAGGCCCCCTGAAATTATGCGATGGCCATCGGCAATTCGGTGCAAATCTGGTATTCAAAGAAGTTTCATGGGAATCATGCTTTGCATAGGTCGTTCTCTGTGTGTCCGGCATCCCATGAAAAGGGAGTGCAGTGTATGATCTGATAATATTTGCGACGGGCGACCTGTCTGGGTGCGCTGACGCCCTCGATGTCGCCAAAAATGTCATGTGTGAATGGCGGGCGACCTGCCAGGGTACGTCTACAACCATCATGCCAAAAGATAGGTAACGATATGTTGTTATATGAGCATCGAAAGAAAGATGGCACGACTGCCAACATATTCCTGACGATACCATATCAACAACAAATCAAACAACGAAACATATGTTGGTCACAGTATGCCGGATCCCCAATAGGATTGCTACGGTTATCATAGTGTCCAATAGTACGAGTCGCAATTTTATCAGGCAGCATAGTTTCACAATCATTCCCATCGATCTAGATCCAGTGTTTCAGGTGGCACAACCAGTAGCTGTAGGTGTTGTCGCTGCAGTGCTCGAGGTTGTAGCGCCACCGCGTCTTTGGGAGCGCCCTGCGGGTGCTTCTCCGAACGCGACTGCTGGCCATGTGCTGCGAGCCCTGCGGCAGGCGCGGCGGCGCAGTCGGCCTCCGCGCTCCCGCCGCGATCGGCGCGGCAGTTGTTGCAGTGATGCCACTCCAGTTTGCGTCTCCAGAAGCAGGGCCGCTGGAAGACGCCGCGCCCGATGGGGGGGGGCAGCGCCCATGGCAGGCCCATCGTGGCGAAGCGGTGGAAGAGAGGGCGGAACCTGAGAAATTCACCTGCGGCCCCCCAGACTCCGCGAGCCCCTGTGCCCCCCGCGCGGGAAGTGTCGATTGCCCCCCGCACGTCCGGGGGAGGGCGTCCTGTTGCGGCGGTCCTGACTGCGGTGCGGCTAGGTCTCCTTTCGGGGGTCTCGGTGTCAGACGCGATGCGGGCGCGGCGGCAGCTGTTGCTCTGCTCGAAGTGTTTGCCTGGGTCGGCAGAGAAGCTGCATTTTGCCACGTGAGGCCATATGCGCCGGTATTGTCGCGGGCAGGCGCCGTGGTTTGCGATGGAGAAACAGAAGTTCTTGGTGCCTCCGTCTGTGGGCGGCCGCTGCGCGCCTCGTCCCGCGGAGGGTCGTTTCTCGCGGGCGTCCACGTTGGATTGCGACGCGCGCCCTTGAGGCCCCGGCGTGGAACGGTTGCCAGAACCAGCATGTAGCAGTTTGCACCTTTCGCCGTTTGTGCAACGACTTGCCTTGTGCGCTGCGCATGCGGTCAATTTGTGACGAGTCGCCTCGTGTTTGAGGTCATGCTGGTTACGTTCGAGTCGGTGCATCTCGACGTTGGCCAAAACGCGCTCTCGCAACCAATCGTAGATGCGAGTGGGGTCATTCGACATCATTTTGCTGTGGTCGTGCATGTCTTGCGTCATGCATGGATGTTTGCGGATCTGAGCTCGGGGCATTGATTCGAGCATCTTCGTGTCCGGTGGATCGCGGCATCACAAGAGTAGATTGTCCAAGGCCACAATGGTTTGTTGGAGATCGTCGTCCCGCATGCGAATAAGTAGGAGAAGTTCGAAGTCGCGCATTGTGTCGTCGACGTCCATGACCTTGTAGGATTGTAATACAACCCAATAGATCTGTCTACCTTTCAGCATGCGGCCTGCTGTATGTTCTTGAGCTCGGATGTTTCTCATCCAGCAACGGAGGTTTG